CCGCGCCCCCTTCTTACACCTGGACGACCACGGTGCTGGGCCCGCCCTGGAGGCGGCTCTTGTACCGGTCGAGCCAGCTGCGGAGCTCGGCGATCTTGTAGCCCTCGGGCCCGCGCCCGCCCTGGTACATCACCACCTGCTCCTGGACGATGTAGAGGCGCTCGAAGTAAGCCCCGTAGGCGGCGCTCGAGGCGTTGTCCATGGTGTCGACGGCCAGCGGGCAGCCCGGGGCGCCGGCCTGGAGGAGCTGCGCCGCCCGCAGCCGGTCCTGCAGGCACTGGTGCTTGGGGATCTCGTAGGCGGCGTCCGAGCTGACCCAGCCGTCCGACGGGTGCGCCTCCTCGATGTAGACCAGCAGGAAGTCGGCGATGTCGACGAAGCGGGCGGCCAGGCGCTGGAAGGCGCGCAGGCGGGCCATGAAGGGCGGTCAGGTGCAGCTGCCGAAGTTGAGGATCAGCGGCCGCTTGCCGCGCGCGTAGTCCAGGATGCGGCGCCGCGTCCGCCCGTCCAGCTGGATGACCTCCGGGTTGGGCGCCGCCGCCCCGACGTGCGCCGCCTTGAAGAAGTCCAGCTTCTGCCCGTGCCACACGGCCTTGAGCGACTCCAGCGTGAACATGCGGTTCGAGTCCGACACGCAGAGCGGCGGGTCGTCCGGAGGGGCCGTCGGGCCGCTCGCTGCTGGTGCTGCTTCTGCTTCTGCCGCCGCCGCCTCTTCCTCTCCGGGCCCCGCGGGGGCGGCCGTCAGGAGGAGCTTTTTGCGGATGCACAAGAAGTCCAAGAGCCAGAGCATCACGGCCGTCAGGAGGAAGCGGGGCAGCAGGAGCACGCAGGCGGCCACCTGGCTGAGGGCTTGCAAGGTGTGCGCCCCCACGGAGTGCAGCAGCATCGCGGCGGCGGGCGGGGAGGCAGGTGGGTGAGTGGATGGAGGGAGGGATGGATGGACGGGAGCGGGCTGGGCTGGGGAGAGGCCAGTTGCTACAACTCCGGCAAGGACGTTCACACGTTGTCCGGCGCGCGCGCGCCCCTTCCCCGCCTCCTCCTCCTCCTCCTCCCGGCTGGCGTGCGCTCCCTGCGCTCCCCCTACGCGGCTGGCTGGCTTAGCCCGATGAGATCCCGCTTCTCCTTAAGCCCATTTTATAGTCGGGGGAATTAAATGAGAAAGTGACTCCGCCCCCTCCCGCCCGGGGACCCGCCCCCTTTGGAACTTGAGCCCGGGGATTACCTACCCCCTTCACTCCAGTGACCTAAAAATACGCTGGCAAAGAAAGAGGCAGAGGGAGAGCGGCGCCGGGGCAGGGGCGGGAAGGGGGGGAGGAGAGGGGCCCGGCCGGGCCGGGGGGCCACCCGGCCGGGCTGGGTGTCCCGGCCTGGGCGGTCGGGGTGGCGGCGCGCCGCCCGCGCAGGAAACGACTGCCCTCCCCGGCCAGCCCAAAGGCGCGCCCGGCTGTTGGGGGGGGGCTTCTGCGCAGCCCTCCGTGGCCGAGCAGATCCCGCGCTGGAAGGCCGTGAGTGCGGGCCCGTCCTGCCCCCCATGGGAGGGTGCACAAGAGGGCGCCCCGACTGGGAGATTTTTTTTTTGGGGGGGACGTCCCCGGTGCACCCTCGATCTGGTGGAAGGACCCTCCCGGGAGGCAGGCGAGCACCGGCCAGGCTCCTCTCCTGCTCGCGCGGTGCCTCCAC